AGAATCTCAGCACAGTGCACAGGCTCTGTAGCACCGGCGAGGATCCTGAAATACTTTGGGTAGATTTTTTGAACTCCAAATTTTGCCCGGGCAGTGCCGTTAGGCTACTGTTTTCGATTTCCAACTGCCGTGGGATTTTTTACATGCGCAAAAATGCACACGGGCGTCCGATCTCACTACCCAGAGACCAAGGGAAATTACTAGAAAAAAAACCCAGCCCTTACCGGGTACTGAACCTGGAACCTCTAGCACTAGAGGTAGACACCACAGAACACGCAGTCTTCTGTTGGGGGACAAAGGGCACACACAGGCAGAAGACAAAGGTGTAAAGCTCTTGGAGTTTTTTCTTTCGCTACTGTCTCTTCTGCCTCTCTTGATATAAAGCTAGTCGCGTATCCTATACAGGACGTAGCAGGACGTAACACAGCACTGCTTTTTGCTGTCTCTGGTTTAACCACAGTCCGTTCCAAAAGTCGTGTTTTACTTTAAAAATTGATAACTCAATAACTGTTCGGTATAAGTAGCTGAAATCTGGCATGCAACTTGTATAATCACGTGCTTGTCAGATTTTAAAATTTTTTTTTTTTTTCTTTTAATTTCTAGTGTTAACAAACATCTAGTTTTCATCTTCTCTTATTTGCGTTACATAAACAAAGAGACCCTAATTCAAGGCAAACATTCAGCATGCTTGCAGTTAATTGAGCAATGCAATTTTTTAACACATTTAATTTCACGTTTCATAGACGTTCTACTCTCATGCGGGCATCTCCAACATTAACCTACCGTGTTACATGACAATGTTTTCACTGCATGCGGAAAAGGCTATCAAAATATTCAAAACGCATCGCTGCACGGGTGAAATAATTTCCAACAATCTTCAGGCGTGTGGAATTTACTGTATGTTCTATTTTTTTTAGGGGGTGTACACATTATGATTCAAATGTCGATGAAATTCGCTGCGTTAGGAAAACAGAGGGCATCAGTGCAATTGTAAATAATAAAATCATAAGGACGTGGGAAATCCAAGACTATATGCACAAATTCGTGTTGATCCGTACATGAATTTTCGCGATGTTTGTTAAGTGCATGACTTTTGAAAGGCACTGTGGTAACTTCTGTGACGTGTTCATCTGACTTTAAACAGACTACCAAATACGAATTACTTTTTTTCTTTTTTCTTAAGGCATCCGGTCATAAACGAATTCCCTGGATTGAGAGCAACATCCGGGGAGGTAGTGTTGGAGGCACAGGTTATCTGACTGGGTGATCTTAGGCCGACAATCTTCCACAAAAAGTTCCAGTAACGCAAGCAGAGGTGGTCGTGCAGCTCTGTCACACTTCACTGTGTTGGTCGCGGGGAAGTGCAGCAGGACTGGCTGGCTGAAGAGCCGGCAGAAAGTGATCCATGGTTAGTGTTTCACAGTTCAACGCTACACGATTACGGGTGGATATCTAAACAGCACGCTTCTTCTTCTTTTTCTTCTTCTTCTTCTTCTTCTTCTTCTTCTTCTTCTTCTTCTTCTTCTTCTTCTTCTTCTTCTTCTTCTTCTTCTTCTTCTTCTTCTTCTTCTTCTTCTTTGTCTTTTTTTTAACTAAAAAAGTTAGTGGTATGTACCGATTACAGCTGCGGTGTGTTCCGTCTTCAGCTCCAAATGTCTGCGGTATGTTCGGTTTTCAGCTGAACATGTTAGCAGTATGTCCCTCTTTCAGCTCAAAATCTTACAAGCGTGTCCCGTTTTTAGATCCAGATATGATGGTCCTCTCCGTGGTGACTTTCGTAGAAGATTTGCATGACAGACAGGTCTTTGTAAGAACCATCATTACCCAGGAAAGGGAGTGGCAGACGTGGTCACTAGGTGACAGCTGCCATACTCCTGATGACGAGTGGCAGACGGGTGCGACAGGGCTGTATGAGTGTCGCGACCAGACACAGATATAAATAAAGAAATTATTTACTATCAATGTGCACGAAAAGCCGAAAGAACAACCCTGATTTTAAAAGGGTAAGGAATTGGGGGCCCTTTTAACTTCACTCCTTCCATATGTCACATACATAAATTACATTCGCGCGAAACACCTTCACGCTGCAGCTGAGACAACCGGCACCGGTAATGTGTCGGCTCGGTGGCTGTGTGTGACGTCAGCTCAACAGACTAAAGACAAAAACAAAAGAGTACCACTAAAGTAGTGGTTCTCAACTTTCCCAATGCCGCGACCCTTTAATACAGTTCCTCGTGTTGTGGTGACCCCCAACCATAACATTATTTTCGTTGCTACTTCATAACTTGAGTAATGTTTTTTGATGGTCTTGGGCCACCCCAATGAAAGGGTCGTTCAATCAACAAAAGGGTCGGGACCTAAAGGATGAAAACCCCTGCACTAAGGTCTTATCAAAGAACGTTTTAAAAAATGGAAAAAAAAGAGATAAAATAAAACTACAGCTTATCTGATAACCGAAATAGTACAACCGAACGCAATATGCAAAGTAGATCATTGAACCCACAGCGGAAACATGGCACCGGAAGAACTGACGCGTGAGTAGGCGGGACTCGTTTTCCCTAAAAAGCCTCTAACTCTTTCAGTCCCTGGGGGGTTTAGCATCAGAGGCTCAAGGGGTCGTAAAGAGAGACGTAAAATCGACACATCTTGCATTCTTTGGGCTTCCAGGTAGGGACCCATAAACAAATGATCCGTTTTTAGGAACTGAAAGAGTTAAGCACTACTTGGGTGTTTCCTTCGGAGTCGGGGTGCATCAGCCTGAGAGGTGAGGAACCAACAGTCTGCACATAATTTAGTCATATTTATAAACTAATACGCATGTGAAACGCAAGACCAATATCCAGAGGTGGACGGCCAACCAGAACTCTGCGCTGGAGTTAACAGCCGGTGAGCTTCAGGAATGGAGGAAGGAAGGTGTATACTGCAATAGAAAACATGCTGCAAGAGATATATATATATGCTCCCTGTAAATCAAACCTATTCTGTATTTCGGGTGCTTATTATTAATGAAGTGTTAACTTCTCCCAAACCGTAACCAATAAACCGATTAAAATTTTTTTTTAATTGTGATTACAATGTTTAATTTAACAATCACATTGGCGGCCCAGGTTTTTGTGCACTCGTGTATTTTTTGCGATAATCAGTAAAAGTGCACTTTTGATGGAGGTACACCTCTTTGAATATTTTGCCCTACAATTTCCCTTGAAAGGGTAATTTAAAAACATTATATTTCGCTGTTATCTTCCTTAAAACCACATATCTATATTTGTCTAAGACAATACATTTGTATGTTTCATAAAACTGTTAAATACTGGTGTTAGTATCAGAGGGGATGTCTCGGGTGAACTTAGGGGTAATGACTAAAGATACTGCAGCGGTGGAGACAAAGATGAAGCAGAAGACGGGATATTAAATATAAGGTTTTAGTTAGACGCCACTATGTCTACATGTAGGGCAGCGGTGGAGACAAAAATGAGGTAGAGGGCGGGAGATTTTCTTTCATGCGAAGCGGGGCAATTAAATCTACTACATATATTTGGCTTGGTAACAGGTTCGTTTCCGGAATGTTAACGACAGCTTTAGAGTTTTATGTCGTCTGTTGTGTCGTCTTATCTCTACCTTTTTCTAGGAGTGCCGATCCGTTCTTATACATGTGTCTACATCGGGGACATGTGGTGCTTCTGTCTCAACGCCATTAAACCCTTTATCTGTGGATCCACCCTCTTCAAATTAACCAACTCTCGCCCCAGCCATAGGTTCCCGTGATGTGTATGGAGATCTCTGTGTGTGCGTGTGTGCCCGTGCCAGCGCGCGTGCACACGTGTGTGAGTGAATGTGTGTGTGCGTATGTACGTGCGTGCGTGAATGTGTGCGTGTGTGTGTATACACACACTTCAACACACATCAATACAGAAATCGCCAGCCGGTCTTTGGTTCCTGGTGATATGTTTGTGTGTTCATCAATACAGATGTCGCCAACCGGTCTGGTTCCCTGTGATATGTTAGTGTGTTCATCAATACGGATGTCGCCAGCCGGTCTTTAGTTCCTGATAATACGTATGCGTGTTCATCAATACGAATGTCGCCAGCTGGTCTTTAGTTCCTGGTGATATGTTTGTGTGTTCATCAATACGGATGTCGCCAGCCGGTGTGCGTGTGTCCTGGTAATATGTTTCAACACACATCAATACAGAAATCGCCAGCCGGTCTTTGGTTCCTGGTGATATGTTTGTGTGTTCATCAATACGGATGTCGCCAGCAGGTCTTTGGTTCCTGGTGATATGTTTGTGTATTCATCAATACGGATGTCGCCAGCAGGTCTTTGGTTCCTGGTGATATGTTTGGTATTCATCAATACGGATGTCGCGAGCAGGTCTTTGGTTTCCTGTGATATGTTTGGTATTCATCAATACGGATGTCGCCAGCCGGTCTTTGGTTCCTGTGATATGTTTGCGTGTTCATCAATTTGGATGTCGCCAGCCGGTCTTTGGTTCCCGTGATATGTTTGCGTGTACATCAATTTGGATGTCGCCAGCAGGTCTTTGGTTCCCTGTGAAATGTTTGTGTGTACATCAATTTGTATGTCGCCAGCCGGTCTTTGGTTCCCTGTGATATGTTTGTGTGTACATCAATTTGGATGTCGCCAGCCAGTCTTTGGTTCCTTGTGATATGTTTGTGTGTACATCAATTTGGATGTAGCCAGCCGGTCTTTGGTTCCCGGTGATATGTTTGTGCGTACATCAATACGGATGTCGCCAGCCGGTCTTTGGTTCCCGGTGACTTGTTTGTCTAGAGATCAAACCGGGTGTTTGCAAAGGGGGACAAACAAGATAACAGAGATCATTGGGGAAGGGGAACCATGCACTTTTGTGTGTGCGGAAATAATATGAGCTTCTGATACAACAACCAACATTATGAACTGCAAACCGGCAGACAGACAGAGGGAGCAGACAGACAGAGAGGAGCAGTCAGACGGAGCAGACAGACACAAAAGGTCTCACCTCACTGAGCCGCCTCTGTTTGTTCCGTAAGCGAACTGTGACTGGAGACACAACGTCGTAGCGTTCGTCAGCTGCCCTTCGCACCTCGTCAAGGTCGGCGCTCTCTGCTGCCAGGCGCGGGTTTTCATGTACCACCCCTGAAACACAGCAACAGATTATATTATCGTCGGCAGCAGTAGCAGCAACGGCAGCAGTATTAACTGCATCAGCAGTAGCCGTAATAGAAGTATAGCAGCAGCAGTAAGCAGTAACAGCAGTGGTAGAAATATATCGACAATAGCAGTATAGTGATAACATCAGTTTTAGCAGCAGCAGTAGTACCAGTAGTAATAGCAGCAGCAGCAGCAGTAGTACCAGTAGTAATAGCAGCAGCAGCAGTAGTAGCAACAGCAGGAGTACGAACAATATCAACAGTAGTATCAACAGCATCAGCAGTAACAGTAGAAGCAACAGCAAACAGTAGTAGCAACGGCAGTGGTAGTACTATGGCGAAATTATTACCAGCAGTAATATCACAGTCAGTGAGGTAGATGGGTTTGCTGCAATAACAAAACACCACACGGACGAGCTTCTTCTTCCAGTTCACCGGATGTGAAATCCGGCGCAAAGTTCTGGGTTGAAATCCACCTCTGGAACCTAAGTGATGCATGTACATCCGTTTTACAGAACTGGCGTATGCAGACTTGGTTTCTTGCATCTGAGGAAGATGTGCTCCGACTTCGAAGGGATAGACAAGCTTAAACTTTCTCTCTCTCTCTCTCTCTCTCTCTCTCTCTCTCTCTCTCTCTCTCTCTCTCTCTCTCTCTCTCTCTCTCTCTCTTACACACACACACACACACACACACACACACACACACACACACACAGCGTGTGACAATGCAGAAACGTCGGGGCCACATTAATAGAAGATCATCAATGTACATGCCAAACACACAGTTCCACATGCCCGTAAACAGAACAGCATCCACACACAAACCTCACAATTCTAAATATCAACTCCAATATATACTGGATTGCTAACAAAGGTTAGGACAGGCATGCTTCGTGCAGAGTGGCATGACCTGCTACGGAGATCAAGAGCGAAGAGACATTCAGAAGCACCGAGGCAGATCAAGCAAAGCTTTCCTAGCCAAAGAGAATAACTGACTCGTGCGCTTGTAGCAAAACCTCATTATTGACATGCAGGGAAAGAAAGACATCACAATTTACGCTGCCAACTATGGATAATATAATTATTAGTGCACGTGCCTAGAATAATCACCTGTCATGCTGAGTACAAGGTGGTATGTATGTGCGCGCGCGTCCGTGTGCAATTGTTCTGTGCAGAGAGTAACAAATTTACAAACAATTTGCTTTAAAAACCCACAAATTAACTGACATGCCAGGAAAAAGAGGATCGTCAATTTGTCAGTAAATATAAAATCATCATTTTGTGTGTCAGTAAAGAAAGAATCATCATTTTGTGTGTCAGTAAAGATAGAATCATCAATTTGTGTGTCAGTGAATATAGAATCATCAATTTGTGTGTCAGTGAATATAGAATCATCAATTGTGTGTCAGTGAATATAGAATCATCAATTTGTGTGTCAGTGAATATAGAATCATCAATTTGTGTGTCAGTGAATATAGAATCATCAATTTGTGTGTCAGTGAATATAGAATCATCAATTTGTGTGTCACTGAATACAGAATCATCATTTTGTGTGTCAGTAAATACACAAACATTACTCTGTTTGCCAGTAAAGAGAGAATCATTAATCTGTATTACAGAGAATCATCAATCTGTATGCCAGTTAATACAGAATCATCACTTTATATGCCAGTAGATTATGTTTCCCAAAGTGGTGCGTGACCCGTCCAATTTGTGTGTCAGTGAATATACCCAATTTGTAGGTGCTGAGACAGTCCAGAGAGCGATAGCTGCCTTGATTAAATTAGGGGGGGGGGGTGGAGGGCGCTGGGACGTTGCAGGAGGCGCTAGGAGCCTCAGGAGCGGATGGGAAGCATTAAATGAAAACCATCTAATGAATACAGAATCATCATTTGGTGTGTCAGCAGAGAGAGAGAGAGAGAGAATCATCAATTTGAGAGAGAGAATAGAGAGAGAGAGAGAGAGAGAGATTAGACAGACAGACAGACAGACAGACAGACAGACAGACAGACAGACAGACAGACAGACAGACAGACAGACAGACAGACAAGACAGACAGACAGACAGACAGGTTTCAGACAGACAGACAGACAGACAGGACAGACAGACAGACAATCCGTATGACAAAGCATCATTTGATAAACTGTTTGTACTTTTTCCAACGCAGTGTTGAAATTTGTGGTCAGACGAAAATCGAGGAGTGGGAAGCATTAAATAAAATTAATTGCTTAGACAGACAGTTTTTTAAGAAAATAAAAATCAAGTGAAATGTTATAACCAATTAGATTCATCCCTCTTGTTAGAGAATATGTTAATCTTTTAGTTTTGACGGTGCAACGATTCTTGTTGTTTCATTACAGAAAGTATATTTGAAGACAAGGAATAGACTCGAGAACTTGCTGACAACTATCAAGAAGACCTCTAGGGACAGCGAAGAGATCAATACATTGATCGTTTGACCACATCCACGGGGAGAAGAGCATCACTTGATCTGTGATGTAGCTGATCGTTCAGCACGACGAATGATGACCGCCTGGCTCATGATGATAAATGTCAGTGAACAAATTAAGAAGAATCTGGAAGTAACAGAGATGTGGTTTCTGAGACGAATGTTACGAACACCTTGGACGGCCAGAGTAACTAACAACTGTGTGAAAGAAGCTAATGAAAGTTGATCTCATATACAACAAAAATAAAGAGACAAACACTGTTCTTTGGCCACTTAATGAGAAGAGAGACACTGGAGAACATCGTGACAACTGGAAAAATAAGTGGAAAATGGGGAAGAGGCAGACCAAGAGATGATGCTGGATGGGCTGAATCGATGGCATGCAGGCATATCATCAAGAGAGCTGTTCCAGGCAACCAGGGGTCGTGATCTGTGGAGACGCATGAGCGCCTATGCCAGTTGGCAGGGCACATGATGCGGATGATAATGCTATTTCCAGGAGCAGGATGGGGAGGCACTAAGCGATTTTAAAAAAAATTGGGGGGTGGGGGGGGTGGTGTGGGGTGTATGTGTGTGTATGAATGAAAACGGGGTGGTGGGTCAAAAAGTTTGGAAATACTGCAGCAAATAGAGAATTAGCAATCTATATGCCGGTAAAAACGTGCAATAAGTACACGCAGCTGATTCTCGTGTGCCCGTGTTAGATACAAGCAGATGTGTGTGTTGGAACTGTCACATCAACTCGACACACACGACAATCAACTGAGGCCAGCCACGGTGACCCGGTGTGTCAATGAGGCTATCGACCCCGCTATTGCTACGGAAGACTCTTTACCAAAGGTCGCTGTATTCAGAGAGCGGACACTTTGCTGCGGAGTGTTGAATAATTAGATTGTCATATATGTGTTAGATTGCTGAGGAAAGTAAGGACAGGCATGCTTCGTGCAGAGTGGCATTCTTCGTGCAGAGTGGCATGCTTCGTGCAGAGTGGCATGCTTCGTGCAGAGTGGCATGCTTCGCTTCGGAGGTCACGAGTGAGGAGAACTGTCTGGATCTTTTTTTCCGAGTAATGCCGGTGTGTTGGCAAATGAACGGGCGGAATACTGATGCACAACTTTGTGGAATACTGATACATGATAAGGCAGACGTGGTTAAGGCCTTATGGGAGCAGGTGTACAATTCGGAGGAGCCAACTGATCTTCACAGTCTAGTGAGAGTAATGCAGTAAGGAGTGACAAGGGGATCTGGCTGATACTCGACGTTCAGAGGAAAGGCAAGACAGAGGTATAATCAGACTGCTACTGGCACCACTGGTAATGGAACTCTACGCTGGCTGCTGAAGATAGAGACGGAACGTTTATGGGAATGCCATGAGTGCTGGATGTCGACTCAACTGATATTAGGCTGTGGTTGGTCTGCTGTTCTCTGTTCATCATTGGCTGGGGGAGGGTGGGGGTGACATTCAGGATCTAGACCAGAGTCCACAGATATATCAAAAAGTCCGGTTTCATCTGGGACTGAACACACGATCTTCGGATTCACAGGCGAGCTTTACTACACCATGCCGGCTCCCCCCCCCCCTTTTGCGGCCCAAGGGGCCACGGATAAACCCAAGCGGACCGCCATAAAATCTCTGCCCGTTCATCTAAAATGGTTGAATAGCAGTCTCTATGATTAAAACATTAAAACAACTACAGATTCGGGAATGATTGAGATTCAGCCCCACCAGGACATCCACCAAGCGATAAACACCCGGTGACACAGAGTGCCACCGTGAGGATGGGGATCACCCGTGGAGAGGTCCCAAAAACCCTTTTAAACCGTTAGGTTACATGAGGGCCGCCGACTCACAGGCGGGGTGGGGCTCTAAGGAAAGTCTGGGAAACCCCGTTCAGCCCTAAAGCCATACCGCACAGTAATACTGGGGCATCACAAAAACGGTCACTGTAGTCCAGTGTGGGTCAGTCTGATTAATTCCTGCGGAATTTCTACCTACTTTTAGACCTAAGTCTTGTTCCTGAACTTAGGTTTTACATGTTCATCGATTTTACAGATCTGGCTTATTTGCGAGGCAGACTAGTATTGGTCCCTTGTCTTTCAAACAGATGCACTCCGACTTAACGTGCAGACATTGATTTGTGTAGAAGGGCAAGTTATCGTTACCAGGGGATGTAAGCATGAAAATTGGACATTGCCTTGAAACGCGACAGTTGTCTCCCTTGTAAAATAAAATGTTTAACTGCAACAAGGTTCATATAAACCTGGAGCTGGCCGTGGGTGCTAGCAACATTTCTTTCCATCCTTCAGTTCAGGCAGGAGCTTGACTATGATCCCCGTAAAGTAAAGGACCGATTTTCACTTATATTTAAAAGACCAATCAGAAACCGGTCGATGATGTCATCAACATCATTCTGGCTATCTTCACTTCTCAGGACTTTTACATGGTACCCCCTCAGAGCTATGTCAACCTGGGAGCCAAGGTCATTTCAGAAAGAACGAAAAAAGTCCGGTTTCGTCAGGACCCGAACCCACGACCT